CATCGGGCTCCCTGCTCGGCAGGGAGTCTGCTTCTCCCTCTGACCCTCTCCCCTCTCGTGCTCTCTGTCTCTCCTTCTCTCTCTCAAATAAATAAATAAAATCTTTAAAAAAAAAAGCAAATTTCATCATGTCACTTCTCTAATGATCTTCCTGTCTTCCCTCTGCAGTTTCAGTGGTTCATGACCTTGAGTGAACCCAAAAATAACCTGGGAAACTTTAAAATATTCAGATGTATGTGTCTGACAAATTCTGATTTAACTGGTCTGGGGATGGAGTCCCCAACATCTGTTTTTTTCTTTTTTAAAGTTCTAGTTGATTCTGATGTTAAGCCTTAGAATCACTGGCCTAAAGGTTAAATTTCACTTGTTGGCCAGTTTAAAATTTGGCCTCATCCTAGTTTATCAGTATTACCCGACACTGCACATCATATGCCCTACAATCTAGTTATACTAAACTTCTTGCCAGAATACACTTTACCTATTTTGGTTTTTGGCTTTTGCATATGTTAGAATGACTTGCAATGACCCACTTTCTCCTTCAGGGCACTTTCATATTTTACATAATCTTGGTATTCTAGTTCCTAATTGTGTTTATGACATAGCAGACCCTTAAATGTGTAAACTGATGAAGGCGACGTCAAGAGCTATTGCGTATGGTAGTAAACCTTGTTAGACTCAAGTCTGGAAAGTAAAGTAGTCTTGTTTTTCTTTCTCCTTTTTCTTTCTTCCAGAGTTCCAAACTAGGAGCAGTTGTAAATGTGCTGCTCCTTTGTTTTAAGCAAATCAAATATACGAAGTTTATTATAAAAAATGAAGGCAGATTGATTGTGATGATGGATACATGACTCTTTGCATTTGTTGCAACATGTAAATTTCTATACCACAGAATGAATTTTACTGTATGTAAAATTAAAAAACAAGTTAAAAGTTTTTAAATAAGGAGAGGGTGATATGGTGCTTACCCGGTATTAAATTTGAGATGATGAGAGATCTGTAAAAAAAGTTGTAAATGTCAGCAGCCTGAACTTTTTTCTGTGCCTTCAATGAACAGATTTCTAGTATGTATTTATGCATAGCCATTGTAAGGCTTTGTGCTGTGCCCTGTTTTGATTGTATGTAATACTGATAAAATAAAGAGCTGCTTGAATTTATATAAATCCTTTAATGTCAACAGCTTCAGGTCAAATGTTGCTTTAGATGTCAGCATGCTACTTGCAGTGTGTCATTCTCCTTTGTTAATTTGGTAAAAGTGATTCTCAGATGGAAGGCTTACGGTGAAAGTGTTCATTCCGTGTTCTGTGTTAAAACTTCTGGCACTTTTATAGTACTTAACTGATTTATGTGTTCTTGCTTCTTGAAGTCAGGTTATATTTTTTATATTCTCTGGCTTATTTAATACCTTATGTTTGTTGAGTAAATAACTAGAGGAAGTTCTCTAAAGTAGAGGGTAAAGAATGGGTGAATTATAGATCTTGGTTTTGCTTCTGGAACACTTGTGTCTGATTGCCATGAGTTTAGCTTTTTTTTTTCCCCCTTCACTTCTCCAAAGTTTGTTTTTTGCTCAGTCTAGTAGGAACATTATCATTGGGAATCAATGTCATTGATTTTATAACAGAGGTAGAAATTGGGATTTTCAACTCTAGATTTCAGAGGTTTGGTAGGTGGATTTTAAAAAATGTCATTGAAACTAGGTCCCAGTCTGCTGTGGTAAGTTAATAGTTAATAAAATGGTATTTTAAATTAAACATAATTAAGTTTTAAATGTAACAAGATGTTAGAGACTATAAACAGCATTAAAAAAAGACAGATTTTTGAATTGCAATTCTGAAAGGATAAGTTTTTGTTAACCTAAATTCTGGGCCCTGTCCGTCATTGTTAATTATGTGAGTAAAACGCTCTGTCACCTTCTGCCTGATGGTCTTGCCCTGATCTTTAAGAGACTTGTGCGAAAGCTTGTTGGGAAGGATGCCTGTCTCTGTAAAATCTGTGAAGACTCTCGGTTTGTACAGTTGATTGAATGATGATACCAGTCCTCTGGAAGATAAAGAAGTAGACAGAAATTACTGCATGTGATAACGGCCTCTGAAATGGAGAGAAAAAAAAGGCGTGAAAAAATATGGCACTTTAAATACTTAATATATTGAGTCTTGGAAAGAATAGTCAGGATTGTATCTTGCTGCCAGAGGGACAGTTATCTTTATTTAGGTCACTTACAGAGCATTCATAGCCCAAGTCCCACATTCCAGGGCATGTCTCTGGATAGGTATTCAGTGTTGTTTTTATGCTTAACATTTCAAGTCTCCAGTGTCTATGTTTACAAGTAGCATTAGAAGCGTGAGCCCTGGAGCCTGATTCTGCATCCGAATCCTGTGACCTTGGGAATTTATTTAACCTCTTTTTCTCAGTGTCATCATCTATAAAGATGAGAACAGAAATAGCACTTATCTCAAATGTCAGTTGTGAATATTAAATGAGTTAAAATGTTTCTAATATTGAGAACATTGCTTAAAACCTAATGAGTATGTTTATGTGTGTAAGGTCACAATGATAGCTCCCATTCCGCTAGACCAAATTTGTATTTGTCATTTTGGAACTTCTGAGGCTAAGGCCATGAAACTTTCTGGTTTTGTGCAAAGAAAGTTCTTAAATATTAAGAAGAAATGCTTCCCCCGTGCCGCCCCCCCCAATTCCCACTATATCATGGCAAGAAAGATGTAAGCATTCACTTTGGTTAGGCCTGAGTCCATGTGCTAGCTCTGCTTTGTGTTTCCAGTTTGATCATGGGTTGCTTCTTAAAAGTTCGGCTTTGGTATCCTAAGATGGGTGTAAGACCACATGGTTATTGGGAGGATTTGAGAGATCTTTTTCCACTTATATCCTTGGAGTCTAGCATAGCGTCTTTTGCGTAGTAGCTGCTCAATAAATAGTAGCTGAGTCTTACTCCTAGTTTGTTCAGTGTCTGTCTTTGAAGAGTGGGAGTGTTATGTATATTCTCTTTTAATGATTTGTATGGAGCTTGCTGTTATGGAGCTTGAACCAGCTAAAGAATAGCTTCCCCAACTTAACCTGATTAATCATAGTTGGTATAAATCATTTTTAGGAACTTCTCCCCACCTCCCCCATTCTTATGTTTCTCAGAAAATTCATTAATGTCATGTTTATGTAGAAGAAAATTTGGTTCTTTTGGAGCAGAGTTGGTCTGTGGGTCAATTTGGGAATGTTATCTTGAGGTAATTCGGGCAGTTGTGTCAGGTGATGAGGACACTATTCCTTGAAACCCCCTTCTCTTATTGTCTTTTAATTCATGAAGCTAATATAAGCTTTACTTCCCATGATCCTCTTAGCATCTCCACTTTCCTCTTGTTAAAATCATCTGGAGAGAGTGCCAAAAGTGGAGAAGATAATTGTGCTCTGTTCCAGAGGATGATTAAATAGATCTGGAGTTGGGCCCTGAAGTCTATAGATAACCAAGTGTATGATCACTTTTCTCTCTTGTAAAAGACAATGGGAAGATCAATTTTCCTCTGAATAAGGTTGTTGATAAATTGAAGGTGGTATTACCTCCTTTTTGATGACTTAGTCAGCATGTTAAGATAGCTAGGCAATGTTTTTCACCCAGAAAAGCTTAATTTTTTATTAAGGCTTTAAAAAAGGTAAGTTAAGTAAGTAAATAAATTAATTAAAACGGGGGGGGGCGTCTGGGTGGCTCAGTCGTTAGGCGTCTGCCTTCGGCTCGGGTCATGGTCTCACGGTCCTGGGATCGATCGAGAGCCCTGCATTGGGCTCCCTGCTTGGCGGGAAGCCTGCTTCTCCCTCTCCCACTACCCCTGCTTGTGTTCTCTCTCTCGCTGTCTCTCTCTCTGTCAAATAAATAAAATCTTAAAAAGAAATAAAAATAAAAAAGTTAAGCATCTCCTCTTTTGAGACTTGTGGTAAGTCTGTTCTCAGGATATGAAAAGTATTGAACAGACAGCATTAATATATGCACGAAACAGGGGATATAAGGTGGGTCAGTAGTTTAAGGAGGTGACAAGTACTTCTAGAGTTGTGCAGGAAATAAATGCTGCAGGGTTCGCTGAGGAAAGGATACTGTTAATGATGCTTCATTGCCCTGATTTGAGCCTGCAGCCAGCTACGTAATACCACTTTCATGCCTGGAGATTGAAAAATACATTAGAAAACATTTAGGTTATTCCAGAATATTTTTAGGACTGTAAGCCCTTTTTAGGACTCTTTTTTTTTTTTTTAATTTTATTTATTTATTTGCGAGAGAGAATGAGATAGAGAGAGAGAGCATGAGAGGGGGGAGGGTCAGAGGGAGAAGCAGACTCCCTGCTGAGCAGGGAGCCCGATGCGGGACTTGATCCCGGGACTCCAGGATCATGACCTGAGCCGAAGGCAGTCGCTTAACCGACTGAGCCACCCAGGTGCCCCCCTTTTTAGGACTCTTAACTGTGAATAATGAAATAGGCCAAAGTTAGTACAGGTGATTAGAGCATGCTCTGTCAGAGAGTGTCATCTTCAATTTTAGTGGTGTTTCTAAATAGGAGGGGAAAGACTATAGATCTCTTGGCCCTACTTTGATCATGCTCTCCCCCCAACCCCCGCTTATTGTTCCCTTTATTTTTAAAAATAAATGTCAATTATATTAAAATGAAAATCTTTATGGAGCATAGCTTGTTCACTCTTAACAGTTCTTTTCCCAGTAAGCAAAGTTTTCTTGTTTATTTTTCAATGACCTCTTCTGTTATAAAGTGAACTTTTTTTCCCCTTCTTTAATCTTTTTTATTGAGAGAACCTCTTACAGTATTTTTCTAATGTATTATTTGACCATTAACCCCTAATGTAATGCATACATATATGTGTATAGACACACAACCACACATATATTTTGGGTTGGAGGGGGTCAGAGAAACGGTTGAGAGGTTAAAAATCCTGTGTTAACATTATATAATCAAAGGTTGGGATATTTTGGGGGGAAGTTAATTGGATTAGAATTTGAGAATTTTAAGAGTCAACTTTGAGGAAGACATGGGGAGAATATTTTCTTCTTTACTGTCTTGATTTAAAATTTTATGTAACCTGTATCAGGGCCTTTCATTCTCCTGTAAATTCTTTTTAGGATTTCTTTTTTTGTTGTTGTTTTGTTTTGCATGTACATGAGAATAGAGAAACAAACTGGAAAGATGAAACTTAAAATTAGTTAAAATGTCCTACAGTCTTGCTAAAAGGATATTATGGCTGTAGGCTAAAAGTAAGGATGGGCTGGTTCATTGATCTCATTTACTTAAATTTGTAGATCTTTTCCATTGTCAAAATTAGATTGGTTATATGGCTTCTACGGGGATAAATTTCTTTTCTTTTAGAATCATTAAAATATTTAATCAAATGAATCTTAACAGTGAGGGATATTAGAGAGAATGGGAGACTTATAATTCATTTATATAACATTTTGCATACTTATTTGGTTATCATCAGAATTACCATTATATTTATCTTTTAATTTTACTCTTTACTTTTAGCAAAGTGTGGGATGCTGTCTCAGGAGATGAATTGATGACCCTGGCTCATAAACACATTGTCAAGACTGTGGATTTTACGCAGGTATCAGAAAATGGAATATATTTTAGGGAGTTAAATTGCTGTTATTATAGGATGTAATAATGGTCGTGTATTTGATTGGTTTGTATATTCTGTATTTGTTTGGGGGTGATATTAGGTGTATATTGGCTTATATATGATTTAATTACAGATTAAGCATACAAATTTAGTTACTTGGTTAATCCTAAAATACCATGGAACTCTTGGATCAGTTCTCCATCAGTAGCAACAAACATCTAAAACATGCAAATAATGTTTCCTCACTACTTTCAGAAGAGAGGATAAATGTGAGATCATTAAAGAGGTGTTACTTAGGAGGGAGAGGATCAGGGCAGCTGGAGAATATTCTTGTGGTAGGTGGCATAATACATTTGAACGGTAGAGCTTAAAGGGTTTTGGCAATTATGAGAAGGATAAATGTTCTCTAGTATCGTCTCAGAAGTAATTGGCATGTGTTGCATTTCTTTGTGATGTCTGCAAACTTTATTTGGATTTTAATTGGTGTTGAAGAAGTTTCAAAGAGATAGTAGCTATTAAAATGGCTCCTCCGTAAACAGTTTGCTTGTGTGTATTTTCAGGATAGTAATTACTTGTTAACCGGGGGACAGGATAAACTGTTACGCATATATGATTTGAACAAGCCTGAAGCAGGTAAGTGTAATTTATATGTGTTTGTATTATATTTTCTTTTAATTTAAATAAGTTTTCTTGATTAAAGGAATCATGTTCAGTACTCAAATTTGAAATTAAAGATAGTCACGAAGAGAAAAATGAAAACAATTCATCATCCAGTATTAATCACTATTAGTATTTTTTAATTTTTGCCTCATAGTCTTCCAGTCTTTTTTTTTTTTTTTAAAGATTTTATTTATTGACAGAGAGAGCACAAACAGAGGGAGAGAGAGGGAGAAGCAGGCTCCCTGCTGAGCAAGGAGCCCGATGTGGGACTGGATCCCAGGACCCTGGGATCATGACCTGGGCCGAAGGCAGCTGCTTAACTGACTGAGCCAACCAGGCGTCCCTTCCAGTCTTTTTTCTATGCAGATATCTTTTTTTAATGTTCCTACATTGTGCTTACATAGTTTTCCTAAAAATTAAAAATTCATCTTGCCAAATTTTTATCATTTAAGTTTAAAAAGGTACATAGCAGTGTTACTACTTTTTGGTAAGAAAGAATGGTTGTCTAGAAGGTGAGAAGTGAGAATTTTAGTGTGTGCATATTTTGTTCAGATTTTTGAACCATATGAATATATTAGCTAATCAGAAGAATTTTTAAAACTTAAAAAATTACAATTTTTTCATGTATTTAAATATTCTCTCTACTGTTTTTAATGACTATTGTTTTTTATGCTATGAATAAGTCGATTAACCAATCTCTTACTGTGGCCCATTTGGGCTATTTACAAATTTTAAATATAAGTGGTATTACGCTTAACATCCTTATAGCTGCAGATATTTCCACAATTCTATAGAATAACTACACAGAAATAGAATTGTTGGGACAAAAAGGGAGGTACACTTGGAAGCCATTGGTAGGTATTACCAAAGTGTGCTCCACCAAAGTATAAAAATATATATCTATAGCTAATCTCTTCTGGCAAACACTGATAACTTTGTCTTTTCCAATTTAATAGAAGAAAAATGATTCTGTGATATTGTGAACTTGAAAAAAATTATTCACGAGATTAAAATACTGTTGAATACCATTTTAATGTGTTCTTTGTGAATAATAGTCTGTTCATGCCCTTTGCCAATTTATCTGTTGTGATGTTCATCTTCTTACTGGTTTTAAGGTTCTTTATTATATTTTGATTTGTCATTTGCTTTTAAGTTTTGTTAATAAGTTTATGGTATACACATTGTAAAGTTTTTGGTGGTGAAATTTATTTCCTTTATGAATTCTCTTACTGCACGGAAGTCATAAAAGATGCCTTTTTCCCCTGATCCAGATATTCATCTCTTTTGTAGTATCTTAATGCTTTTCTAGTCACATAATACATAATATATATTTCAAAAGCTACCAGATTATAATGAACAGGATTTTGTTTTATTTATTTTATAGTCTTACATTTTGTATCGTGGGTATTATTCATTCATTTATGAATTTCAGAAGTTTGTAGGAAAGTCAAAGCTACATTGGATATTAAGCAGTTATTCTCAAGATAGTCTCTTTCCTAAAAGCATTTCTAAGGTGAGCAAACAGACTACATTTATAGATTATTCTTCATTGGCATCTGGAGGTATTTCTCTTCATTCTCTTTTATAACTTTACGCCAAAACATAGCAAAGTACTCGGACCTCAGTCATTGTGCCTTTCTGACTTAGCAAGTTAGTTCAGGCCTTAGGCCCTTCTCAAAGCTGCTTTTTGAAAGTGGTTCTTCTTTTGTACTGGCAATAGAAATAATAGCAGTTAACTGCTTTTACTGTATGTAAAACTCCAGGTTAGAAACCTTAGGTGTATATTCTCATTTGATCCTCATACTCAAACTGTGAGGTGTAGTAACTGTTGTTATCCCATTTTACAGAAGAAAAAATGAAAGGGCTAAGTAACCTTTACTTCAGCAGGTTAAGTAACTTGCCCAAAATCAAAGTAGGGTTGGATGGCTTTGCCTCCAGCATCTGCTTTTGCCCAAAGATAACACTGAGCAGTTGTTCTTTTTTTTTTTAATCTTTTGAAGGGAAAGTCTCCAACAGAGATAGGTTCCTGGTGGTGGTTTTGTTTTGTTTTGTTTTTTGAAGCTTTGATCTCATTGTAGAAATATTCTTGGGAATTACTGCATTGTTTTTTACTGTCTTTTTCTCCTGTCAGCCTGCTTCCCTCTTTTTTCCTGTTTCTACCAACAGTGGCTTAGACGAGGGTCTCAGTGTTAGTGGTAATGTTGGATTAGCTTTTTTTTATTTCATTGTGCTACAGTAATGCTTTTGAAAGCAGAAACATAGCATGGAGGGAGTGGTGTATTCACTCCCAGATACATATAGCAGCAATGTTCTTGGGTTCTTTGTCATGCAGATAAATTTTTGTTCCAGTGTAGAAAAACCACATGTATTCTGTGGAAACAGTAAGTTTGCATTGTGTTGGACTTTGAAAAGTTGCAGTTTAATTTGAAGTGTACTTCTTTTCTTTTTACATATTTAATTGTTCCAGTATTGCTCAGTTTAAAAAAGCAAATATTAACAAATGTAATTTAAATTGTTTCATTTTAAGAACCTAAGGAAATCAGCGGTCACACCTCTGGTATTAAAAAAGCTCTATGGTGCAGTGAGGATAAACAGATTCTTTCAGCTGATGATAAAACTGTCCGGTAAGTAATTTTTCTTTAGTGATTTAAAGTTGAAAAATATTTGACCTTAGTGATTATATTTTAAATATTTCTCATAACTGTATGTATGAAGGATTATCTCTAAACATTGAAACTTAAGCTGCACATAGATCACATTTTTCTGGAGCTGTCCATACTGTTATAAACCTAGAGCAGAATCCACAAGACACTTAATTAAAATTACTGACATCTTTATAAGCCTGTGCTCTTAACCTGATTCAATGGACAAGCTGGCTACGGGGGGGTCCATGAAACTCCTGGTATCGTATACATAATTTTGTGTGCTGATACCTGATGTTTTTTCCTGTGGAAATATATATAGCTATCATCAGATTCACAGAGTGTAAGAACTGTTCTTTAGAGTGATGCTAAAATTGGTAAGATTAGGACTTACATGTCTTATAGCATAGTTTGCTAAGGGAGGTATATTTAAGTATTAAAGTTGACTTCACCAACAAGATACCAAGTAATGTAACATTGTATAGGAATCCCAAATTTCTCTGTATCATCTATAACTTATGAATTGGAATATAGGAGATTTTACTACAACTGTGATTATTCTTCATTGGTTAATCTGTAGATATAATTGGGAATTAAGCTTTTTTTTAAGTGAGTAAATACCACCATATTTTCCTCTTTTTTGCAGCCTTTGGGATCATGCTACCATGACAGAAGTGAAATCTCTAAATTTTAATATGTCTGTTAGCAGTATGGAATATATTCCTGAGGGAGAGATCTTGGTAATAACCTATGGACGATCTATTGCTTTTCATAGTGCAGTAAGGTATGTCCAAGAAATACCTTCTTTTTTTTTTTTTTTGGTATCTTAAAAATTGGAAGGCACATGTGAAAGGTATTTAACTCTTTTAACAAGGCAAATCTTGGCCTATACTATATAATATGGGGAAAAGTTTCCATGCCATTATTAATATGTATTTTAAGAATTTGATATACTGAGGAATTAATCCAATTAATTTCCAATATTTAGGGGACATTATTGGTAAAATTTAGTAACTTCTAAATTTTTTCTTTTTTTAAATTATATTTTTCTTAAAAGGATTGCTAGACTAGTGTTATAATTAATGTTCATTACTGTAAAAAGCCACTGTCATCTTGATTCTCTTATTAATTTCCTTTTTACAATTTTAGAGAAATAGTGATTTTTTTCTTCTATTCCGAAGTTTGTGTAGATCTAATGATGTTTTTTAAAAACAGATTTAATTTTTTTATGACTATAAGTGTAGTTAAATGCCCTTGTTGAAAATTTGGAAAAGATAATTTTAAAAAATTTACCTACTGTTCTTCAACCATAGATGCCAGAGTGTTAATGGTAGTTGTATTTTCCGTTAGTCTTTTTTTCTTTGTTACACATGTATAACATTATATGTGTGTGTTTGTGTGGGTATTTATTTTTTAGTTACTAGGGCCCTATGAGTGTAATTTTGATTTTTTATTTTAAACTATTCTTAGCTATTAAAAACTGTTTGAAAATATTTTTGCTAGGTGTATTGATAGGTTTTACTAAATTATGTATCAGTTTCTCTGAAAAGAGCTGATGTCCAAACTCATTGATGTTCATGTGAAGGTGTTCATGTGCATTGATTCTTATTATAGCTGTAGTTCCAAATTTGGTTATTCTTTCAAAAGCTTGATAGTAAAAACGGAACCATCTTTAGCAGTTTTTATATTTTTGTAGTACTGAAGGTTTTGTTGCAGAAGCTTATAAATTCTCAGCAATTGAGAATAATGTATAAATAATCCATTATGTTAATTACTTATTATAAAACATTTTCTGTTCTCAAAGATGCGTGGTTGTCATGGAAAAATCAAACAATACAGAATTAAATTTCTTTCAATGCAAAAATCCACATATATCAGCCATACTATTGTTAATTAGCCAGCACAGTCATTTCCAGGAAAGCACTCACTGCACAAAGTGTCTTTGTATTCCTGGAATGAACTCCACTTGGCATAGTATCCTTCTGGACTTTTTTTGTTAATATTATTTAGAAGGCTTTTTTTTTTTTTTTTAACATCACTATTTATGTTTGACTAAATGAAGATATAATCATTTCTTGGGTTTCAGAAATTAGGAACAGTTTAAAAGTAATTGTTTCCTGGTATTGTTTATGTAGTCAAAATTTATAAATATTACTTAAACTATTTTCCAGTTTGGACCCAATTAAGTCCTTTGAAGCTCCTGCAACCATCAATTCTGCCTCTCTTCATCCTGAGAAAGAATTCCTTGTTGCAGGTGGTGAAGACTTTAAACTTTATAAGTATGATTATAATAGTGGAGAAGAATTAGGTGAGTTGCTCTCTTTTTCCTCCCTTAAAATGATACGGTTACATTTATCAAATGGTTTTCAGTAATTAACACCTCAGTTAGCAAATTTTTTAGCTAACTAAAGCTTGTTATTTCCAAGTGAAAAAAGTAAAGGATTTTTTTCCACTTTTGGTAGAAGTATTTACAGTGGTGTAAATAAAGCATGCCAGACTCTCAATTTTACCTTTTTCTTTTAACTTAAGTTCATTGTATTCTGGTAGTCTATACAATAGGGCAGTATATTTATTGGGGGTAGGAGGAGGCAGTCGTACATCAAAATCATGTTAAACAGATGTAAGGGTATTTGTTTTTTCTGAAGTATAGTGCTGGTATGTAGTCCCATCTACCTGGCTCCCCCTATTGCCAATGTAAGAATCTCTAAGCTCTGTTGAGAATAGTGTGGGCGAAAAACAGCTATGGTGTATTACAGGGATACCTTAGGCATCTGAATTGGAGGGGATTTTTGTTTGTTTGGATTTTTTTGGAGTCTGACTTTTGCTTCCACTTTCATAATAGTCCTTCATAAAGGCAGAGGAAGGGCATGTAAGATTAATTTGAAGTTAATGTACATCTAATTTTACATTTATCTGATTGAGTAGGTATGTCATAATCATGGTTCTCAGTATCTACTTTTAGCCTTCACAAAATTTGCTTTTTGAACTAGTATATTTAGTTTTTCTAATTTCTTTTTCTGTAAGCTGCTACTTTGTCTAGCTGTCCTGCTTTACCACCCAATGAAATTAAGCTTGTTAGAATTATGCACAAAGAACAAAAGACAGCCTTATGTTTTGTTTTTTTGGGAAAACTAATGGATTTGGGTTGGACTAGTGGAAGTTTGGTGAATGGACCATATAGAATCTATTATAATTGCTTATGGTTCACCCTTTATTATTTGAATATGTGACTTTTAAATCAGAGATCCTTTTTTATTATTTAATGTCAGTTTTCAAAGTTTCAGAATGTTGTGGTCACGTTTTTTATTCTTTTTGAAAAAGAGGTAAATTATTTGCCTGAGATCTGTGGTCACAGTTAGTGAACACCAGACCTTGGACCCAGCTTATTCTCATTCCAAACCTCTCATATTCTTTCTACTCTCATGAAAATTTTTACTGTCATGATAATACTCTCTTGATTCTCTCTGGTTGGACAGAGATGGGGAAAGATGAGGGTCCTTGAATTGAATGGACCTGAAAACAGAATAAAGCATTGGTCTAGTAAATAGTAAAGACTTGGAAAACACAAAGGTGATGAGGCATTAGAAAATAGAAGAGGAAAGTTCATAAATAAGGATATGACTTAAACAGAACAATACTACTACTTATCTGTACATTTTCTCATTAAATTCCCCAGACTAAAATATTTAAGGATTGGCATTGATCTTGAATCTTCATGTTCTGTGTGACAGAATGACTGGTAGACTCTAGTCTGGTAGGAAATTAAGAGGCAGTGTGTGTAAAAGAGCTCCATCTGGTGGCTCTCTGTGGTCATAATAAGAATTGGTTCCCTGGTAAATAGGCAGTGAGTTTAGGATGTGGAAATTGGGATCAAACTGACAGACTTTAGATCTGCTTTCTGTAAAACTTACTCCCTTCCTTTACCCTTTTTTGGGACATGAAGCCTTATATATATATATATATGTTTATTTATTTTTATTTTTTTTTTTTAAGAGGGACAGTATGACACCATAATGTGTGCTAGAATTGGAAGGGGGTAATTTTACAGAGAAATGGTAGACATTATATACCACTTTGTGATAAGAATCACTTTATTTTTAATGAAGTTTAGTTCTTTGAATTTGCACTTAGGATTTTCACATCTTCCCAATAATACAGACAGTATTTTCCTTAGTGTATCAATACTTAACCAACATTTAAGTATTAAATTATCTAATAGCCCTTCTCTTTTTCAGAATCCTACAAAGGACACTTTGGTCCTATTCACTGTGTGAGATTTAGTCCTGATGGAGAACTCTATGCCAGTGGTTCTGAAGATGGAACATTGAGACTATGGCAAACTGTGGTAGGAAAAACATACGGCCTTTGGAAATGTGTACTTCCTGGTAAGCATCTGTATTCAAAGTTAATCAAGTTAAGGGGGGGTGCTATAGATTTTAACTTATTTGATACGGTTTAAGCAGAGAAGCCCATAATTATAAATTGGCTACTGTGTTATTTTATTGGTTAAATTTTTTTGTTGTGTTTTCTATTCTTCGTGTGTGTGTGTGTGTGTGTGTGTGTGTTTTCTATTCCTGAATTTTTTTACACCAGATCATTTGGTGAATGACATGGACCTATTTCAAAATTTGCTAGAGGGCGATATGAAGAATTTCTAAGTAAATGTATTTAATCTCTGGTATTACTCACTGATTCTTATTAATAAGGTAGACATGTTTTTAATAAAAATACTTAGTTATTGACCCCAAAGTAGTTGTGGTATGAACTTAAAAGTGAACTTTGATGGAAAGACATACTATTTTAGAATCACAGTTATTTAAAAAGGGGAGGTTCCTATTAGGTTTTGTAGCTCATTGCTTAGAATAGTGTTGGTGTATTCTTCTTACTTATTAAATACTGGAGGTTGCTGGTAATACTGTAATTCACATAATCATGATTGCTTTTCTTTTCACAGAAGAAGATAGTGGTGAGCTGGCAAAGCCAAAGATCAGTTTCCCAGAGACAACAGAAGAGGAGCTAGGTAAATACTAATGAATTAACTTTTGTAGAGTCCTGGGGGATTTAAAATTGAAGTGTTAGGTGAGTTTTACTCGTTGACAAAGGAAATTTATTAAATATGAACATACTTAAATAATGGAAAGTTTATGTATATGTATTTTTATATACATATGTATTTTTATATACATGTTTATAAAATATTTTAAGTATCTACTGCATAGTACAGTCACGGAGATGTAGTGTGGATCTGAGGTGGTTACTCTTATAGTCCTTGGAGTCTAACTTGAGGCAGTTGCTAAAATAAAAAAACAAATTGTCACAGTTATATTTGTTATTTAACATTTATTAAGTGCTTACTATGTACCAAGTGCCGTTTCCCAAATCTAGAATTACAGATTGTAAGATGCACTGATCATATAATATTGTTTGAAACTTGAATAAATAAAGGAGGGGGCCAGATCTTTCAAGATAAGACTTTAATTCAGTGCTTACTAGATAGTTGGAATCACTGAAAGCTTAGCCTAGAAGAGGGGACCCTGGGAAGTTCAGTTATGGTATAAAAGAGTTTGATGGGTGAAATATAGGAACTATTTTTTCATTGCATTTTCAGTGCCATGAGTCTAGTCATGAATGGTATGTGCCCTTGTTCTCTTTTGCCTCCCCTCACCAGCACACTGAAAAAATCTTTTTATGCCTTCGTTACACAGAAATTTTCTTTATTAAGTTGACTAATGTGGGGTTTTTTTAATTGTTATTTTTTCATTACAGAAGAAATTGCTTCAGAGAATTCAGATTCCATCTATAGTTCAACTCCTGAAGTGAAGGCCTGAGCATTGGGCATATGCCACAGATAATGTACAAGTTATGGACTAAAACAAGCAAGCAGAGAAAAGCATCAGCCTCCCAGAGTTACTCTCTGCTTAAGGCAAACATGAGCAGTAAATAATGGGGAATGTGAATTAGCTCCAGTGCTGGAACTAACTTGGTGTAACCTGTACGTGAAAAGGCAAGAGTATCAGATGAAGGCAGGTGGAATTAGGCTCTTGTGGTATGATGGCCTGTTGTCTTTTTAATGAATATGTGCAAGCCAACATCCAATTTCTCTTATTACAATTAGATTTCTTGTAGCTGTTTATGTTATTATGGAGAAGAAAAATATATTGGCCTATTTTTCTGACTTTTCCCTTAAAGCAGAAAGCCTTTTTTTTTTTTTTTTTTTTGCTTTAGTTGTAAAGAAGAGGGAATACATGATAAAGTAATTGGTTTGATTTCTCTTTCATTGTACATTGCTTCTGAATATCTAATTGTTTTAGTTGTCTAAATAAAATGCCTCTAAACAAAACAATGTTTGTTTCCTGGGAAAAATGTAGATTTGAGTTTATAAATGGAAATTGCCAAAAGTTTTTCTACATTATAACTATATCAAAAGACAATATGGTTAAACAATCTTTAGTAAACATATTGTTTCCTAATTTTGAAATTCAGTTACTTGTACTGGATTTTTAAAATTTCCATGTTTTTCGCTGGGTTTGCATTTACCTTCCTCTTGCATTGGATAGAAATGCTTGACCTGCTTTTTAAAAAAATTTCAGAGTAATGACTTACTTAAGTGACACATGCTAGTTATAAGAAAAAAAATAAGGTGAGTCAGAATTGGCAGAAAGCAGGAAAATCGCTTGAAATCGCACCATCCCCCAAATCTGTTAAAATTCAGTGAGCATTAATGGCATTTTTGTGTATCTGTATGTGTGTATGCAGATAGAAAAAAGTGGGATAATTGTAGATCTGCAATGTTTATTTTACTTTATCCTTTAAGCGCAGATGGCATTCAAAAAACCTTTTTACCAACCTTCTAATAAAATGGGTCAACTGGGTTTACACTTGTACTTATTTTTTAAAATAGGAGTATATTAAACTAGTGACAGAAATACTTTAGACCAATGAATAACATCTCTTGTCAAATTGCTTTTTGTCTCCTTATTCATCTTGTGAATGACCCTTGATAACTTTTTTTTTTACAAGAAATAACCAAGCAAAGAGTAAGTTTCCAGGGATTTGTGGTAATCTTAAGAAAGCACTATTGGCTGTGACAGCCTCTGAAGGCCAAGAGAGGTATGTCATGGGGATAGATAGCCACTGACCAGCCACACACGGTCTCATAGGATGGTAGTTTTGTGTCCTCTTGCCACATGCCTGGTCCTCTGCTTTGCTGTAGCAATATTGGCTGTACCATGGGCTGCTTAGAGTCTAGTCAGAATCTGACTTACCTTAAAGTTGAGATTTATATGTGCCAGAATGGAATCATGAAATTGCTGGATATTTATGAAAGTTATGATTCAAGGGGATTTCGTCTACTTAGGTTTTATAAAAATCTGAAGACCATACACAGATACATGCTTACACATCACTGGGTGGCAGATAGCTTAGAATCTATGAAAGTTGTTTTGAGTTAAGTTTGTAAGTTGGAGAATTTCAGGCCATGAAGTTCTGTCATACCACGCCTTGTATTTATTTTGTGACTAGAATGTTCATGTTGGTCACATCTCTGGGTTGATACAAACTGTCAAGTTCTTAAGCTTTTAGCCCATTTTTAGATACTGGTTACTCAGGTAAGTCATATCAATTTTCAGCTTTTGCCAGATTAATAGAGTTGTTTTTGAACATTAGCTACTTCTGTTCTTGTTTTTTTTTTCTTAAGATTTTTTTTTTTATTCGTAAGTAATCTCTATATCCAATGTGGGGCTCAAACCTATAACCCTGAAATCAAGAGTCACATGCCCCATGGACTGAGCCAGCCAGGCACCCTGCTGCTTTTGTTTTTAATAACAGGGCATGTTTTCAGAGATTAAGCAAACTCTGAACTAAGTGCAGAGCCCAATGCACGGGACTTGATCCCATGACCCTGAGATCGTGACCTGAGCCGAAACCATGAGTCAGACGCTTAACTGAATGTGCCACTTCAGGTACCCCTACTATTTGGCTCTGAAGGCTAACCTTGTTTTTCTTCGTAATCATATATACTGGGTATAGACCACCTAGGAGACTATGGAAACAACCAGTTTGGTATCCTTTGTGTATTGATTTTCTATTGCTGCTGTAACAGATTATCACAAATTTGTCTTACAATTAAGGAGGTCCAAAATGAGTCTCACTAATCTAAAAATCAAGATGTTGACAGGGTTGCATTTCTTCAGGAGAGCCTCTGGTTCCTTGCATTGTTTTGCTTCTAAAAGCTGACATTCCTTGGCTTATGGTCTCTTCCTCTGTCTTCAAAACCAGCAGCTTAGTATCTTCAAATCTTGGACCCTCCTGCCACCCGCCTTCACTAAAAAAAAAAAAAAAAGGCCATGTGTGACTACATTGGACCTACCTGGAATAATTTCCCCAGTTCAAGATTCTTAATGACATCTACAAACTCTTTTTGCCATATAAGGTCATATTTGTAGGTTCTAGGAATTAGGACATGGACATCTTTGTGTGTGTGTGTGTGTGTGTGTGTGTATGTGCGTGGGACCTGGACATCTTTTGGACGCTATTAGTCTGCCTATCACACTATGTAATGGTAGAATCTTCTAGTAGAATTAACTTTAGCAAAAAGGTCAAGTACATATCTAAGTTGCACTTGTCAAAGTCTCCAGTGTTCTTCATGTTTCTAACCTATCACTTTTCTGTTCTTGTTTTACTAAACCTTCGGCAGCAATCAATAGTTGTCTGCTTTTTTTTTTAAAGATTTTATTTGAGAGAGAGAGAGAGAGAGCACAGGCCAGGGAGAGAGGCAGAGGGAGAATGAGACTCCCCGCTGAGCAGGGAGCCCGATGCGGGGCTCGATTCCAGGACCCCGGGATCATGACCTGAACCGAAGGCAGATGCTTAACCAACTGAGCCACCCCACCCAGGCGCGCCTGACTTGTTTTTGAAATACATTTTTTTCATTGCTATGAAACCACACTCTTGGTTTTCCTTATACTTTTCTGACTGCTATATTTGCCAATTCTTCCTTTTCCGCTGGGCTGTACTTCCTAGTTCCATTTCTCCAAAGGAATAAAAACCACATCTATTATTATGACATTCAGTATTTTCTGATACCTTCTAAATTTGTATATCCAGTCTGTCTCCCTGAGCACCACGGTTTAATGGCATAGTTGAGTGTTGCCCCTTAACCTTTGTAAGTATCTCCGACTTACTTAAGACAAATCTTAATTTTTCAACGAAACTGATTTCTTTCTCAACTTATTATTTATTCCAGTAACCAGCACTACCTATTATTTGTTTAAACTAAAAGAGAAGTCCTTGGGGCACCTGGGTGGCTCAGTCAGTTAAGCGGCCGACTCTTGGTTTTGGCTCAGGTCATGATCGCAGTGTCCTGGGATTGAGCCCGAGTCAGGTTCTGTGCTCAGCACGGAGTCTGCTTGAGATTCTCTCTCTCTGCCCCTCTCTTGCTCATGCTGTCTCTCGCTCTCTTGCTCTCTCCCTCTCTCTAGAATAAATAAAATCTTTTAAAAAAATAGAAGTCTTTGAGTTCATTCTCATCCCCATTTCTATTTTATACACAAATCCTGTGGGCTCTTCTGAATCTACCTTGCCTCTTCTCCACTGTTACCCCTCTAGACCAGGCTCTCTTTATTTCTCACTTGACACTATCGCCATGCCTTGCTGACTGCCAGGGGACTGCCTTATATAAATCCGTAGTGGCTTCCCATTATACCACTTTTTCTTATGATCAGACTTTGGACTTCTGTGACCTCTTCATTTTTCCTTTGCTTGCTTGCACTGCTGTAGCCATGGTGGCTTCATTTCCATTTCAAGGCCTTTTCACTTGGCTTGCTATGTCCACTACTTGGTCCACTCTTCCCTAAATATTTGCATGGCTAACCCTTTCTTGTGATTTGGGTCTCAAGTCCTCCTGTATCCCTTCTCTTGTCACTTACTATTTTGCCTTTGTTTTATTCATAGTTCTTATCACTATCTGAAATTATCTTACCTATTTTTCATCTTCAACAGTACTACCCTTTGCCTAGAAAAGAGGCTGGTATGCTAGTAAGTGCTCAAAAGTTGTTGAAACAAGGTCCTAAATTAGCACCAAATCTTATCAGACCAGGAAGATAATTTTCCAGTTATTCCGCATGCAGCAGACATCCTGTTCACTGAAGAAGCAGACATGGTAGGAATCCACTCAAAGCCCTTGCCCATGTACAGCCAAAGGCAACCTGAGGCCCATTTACCTAGGAGAGTCCGGCTTGTATGATGGTCTCATCTCCACCCACTTTCCCATTCCGTTTTTCCTATAGAGCCTCCTCTTTATGTCCTACTGTGCAGTAGGTCATGGAAACTGAATTCCCACCTAGTTTTTAGTCATTTCACTTGTGTATCATTACTTCTCAGTTTTAGTATCATCCAGAGGTTTTGCCCAAGAAACCAGGATTGAGTGTGGTCGGTAAATTGTCTTGAGAATTTTTCCTATCAGTAAAGTTCAACACATTCTTTTAATGGCTATAAAATAGTATGGTAAATATGTGCCATAATTTATAATTTAAGGTGTTACATTTTTAGTAGTTCAAATTCAGTGGAATTATTAATTGAGCTGCCTTTTCTTCTTTGAGACTAAGGGTAGAGGGATAGGCCACATAGATGTAATTTTCCAGAAGGAGCAACAACAAAATGGGAATTGAAAATGCAGACTAGGGGAAAACATTTCTTTAGTAGCTACCTATGTTTTACACCAGGAGGATTAACATTTTGAAACAAAAAGTGATTCCTATTGGGTTGCCATATAAGTTACTGTACATGTTGGCTCTTATACTAGGGGGATTCACTTTTCTTTGTTTATAGGAATGCACAATTGCCAGTGGGTAGAGTACCACCTAGACCAGGATAGAATCAACAGAGTTCCTGAAGACACAAAGGAGGCATCTAACAAATTTACCTGTGGAAACAAGGCCAAAGCCTCTAAATGAACAGTAATAATACTTTACAGGTTGAGTCACTCCATATAATTAATGAGAGAATAGAACTTTCTCAGAATATCTTCAATAACCCAATGAAGGTAAGATATTACCCATTTTATATTTGGAGAACCTGACTTTCAGAGGTTAAATGGGTGGTCTAATGAGTTTGGCTTCAACAGGATAGTGGGAACAGCACTTGTGTAGTCTGTAGGATTATATTGCCTGGGTTTTAAACCATCCTCTAGAACTTAGACTAATTTTTCTGAGCCTTAGTTTCTTTCTGTGAAAGGAGATGACAGTTCTCCCACAGATTTTTTTTGGAAATATCTGGTTTTCTTTTTTGAAATAACGATAATTGATGTAAGAACTTAACTCATAGGAAGCACTTACTATTATATATTTATTCTATCAATGATTCTCTAACTTTGGGATTTTGTGGACCAGTCGATTAAAGAAGAAAAGGAGTAGATCAGGGCAAGATAAAATGGTTTGCTTCTAATCTTGACAAGTGAGGTTGTTACATTTTTTTTCTACCACCACAGCCTTCGTAAGAGAAAAGACATTTTTATTTTTATTTTTTTTTAAATTTTTTTTTTAAAGAT